CTGACAGGAGAGCAGAGATCCACGCAAGCTTCACTGGTTGTTTGAGATGCTAATGGAGTCCCCAGTCAATGGAGAGGGAGGCTCTTTTGTCGATGCCTGGTGAGTAAAAAGTTACATCTTTGAGGAGATGCTGATGCCGTTGTCGGTGGGACTTAACAATCTGACACTTGTAATGGTTTTTCTTTTCAGTCGTCTGTACGTGCTCCAGGGTGGTCTAGCTCAGCAGGAGTGGAGGGTACCTGAGCTACTCCACAGGTTGCTGCAATACCTGGAGCCCAAGCTCACCCAAGTTTACAAGAATGTACGCGAGCGCATTGGCAGGTGAGACGCTTTTCACACCCAGATTAAGCTTAAATGTGTCATCAAGTTATTATAAATTCGTTTGTATATCGTTTTTCTTTCATCCTCCCTCTCTACTTTTCTATCCTTCCAGCGTGCTCACGTATATCTTCATGATTGATGTCAACTTGCCATACACTCAGCCCACCACCTCCCCACGCATCTCGGACTTCACGGAGAGAATTCTGTTGCGGCTGAAACCTTTAAATGAGGGCGATGAGGAAATCCAGAACCACGTGATTGAGGAGAATGAGGTGGGAGTGCAGGATGAGAGGACTCAAGCAATCAAGTTACTCAAAACAGGTGGGTGGTTGATCTGTTGTCACTAACCAAATCAGTTTCTTTGCGAGACACACTCGACTGTGGCATTTATGAAATGATTCGTCCTGTGAATTTCTGCAGTGCTAAAGTGGCTGATTGCGAGTGCTGGTCGCTCCTTCTCCACTGCTGTTTCAGAACAACTGCAGCTGCTTCCCCTGCTCTTCAAGGTGAAATACTCACATTCAGTCTTAGCTTAGCTACCTTCGTCACTACCACCTTCAAGTTTTCTTTTTGTTGTGTTGTATACACTATAACATTTAACCCGTTGCTGTCGTGTTTCAGATTGCGCCGGTTGAAAATGATGACAGTTATGATGAATTAAAGAGGGATGCAAAGACCTGCCTGTCTCTGATGTCTCAGGGACTCCTCTACGCAGAGCAAATCCCCATGGTCCTCAGTGTCCTACAGGAGGTAGGTCACCTGGCCGATGTGGCTGTCGCTCAGCTTTTTACCTGCATCACATGACACTGGGGTTTTCACTGATTATCACTGATCATAAAAGAAAGGTTCAGTGGGAAAGACAAAAGAATCAAAGGCATCTGATTATACTTAAATTTCTTTGACATTATGTAATCCTTTATCTGTCCATGCCTGGTATACTGTATTCATCATTGTTCCAATAAAAGGATTGCAAAGACAAACATGCTTATTGTGTACACCTGAAGTATGTTGCTGATGTGAGGCTGGCTCTGTTGCTGTGTGTTACAGATTGCTGGCAGCAGCTCCTGGCACGCTCGCTACACGGTGCTCACATACCTCCAGATAATGGTTTTTTACAACCTGTTCACATTCATGAGTGACCAGAAGGCAGTGAATGATGTGCGGGCACTGGTGATAAAGCTGCTGGAGGACGAGCAGCTTGAGGTAACTTGAAATGTAAAGATGAATGCAGAAACATGTACCTGGAGTGGCATGAGCAGGAGCTGGAACCTAGCTTGAAGATAAAGAAACATGTGACTCTCGGATTATGTAACACTCTCCAAGCAACTGGCCACTATGTGCTTGTTTATGCTAGCAGGCACTCGCACTGTCTTTCAGCTTCACTGTAGTGATTCAGCGCGCTCCTCGTGGCTCTCTACTCTCTTCCCCCTTCCAGTCCTCTAGCTGTTGCCATGGAAACCACAGGCTGCAGTAATCTGTTGCTATGGAGATAACGTTTCGGATTGAACGAGAGTGAAAGGGAGAAGGATGGAGTAGAGACAAAGAAGAAGTGGGGGATGGAATTTTTGTTTGGCCACTTAAAGTCCCCTGAGCCTAATTTATCGGCCTTAGTGATGCAATACGTTTGTCTTGTTGTATTTAAAGATGCCTGTCCACTGAAAAACACCGGCCTAAGACTGAGAACTCCATTGAGAATAGAGCTAAAACAACATGCTACGAAGCATTTGGCTCCCATTATAGAAAAGCACTGAGTCCCCAGCTGGTTGTTTAAGTCCAGGTAGCCGGTGTATTTCCTAATGGGCCACCCTGCTTCTGACCCCGATACTGCAGCTATGGCATGCCTGGTACCGTACAGTAGTCATCGAGGTGCCAGAGGTCATGTGTCAGTACATAAATGTACTTATGCTGTGCCAACATCGTTTTGGGTGGAAATATGAATTTGAACCAGTGTTGTTTGAATATGAAATTCTTAAAAAGCGTTCATTCTTTGATGGAGTCACATGCCTCTGGGAGCACCAGTAATGATTAACACACAGGGGTCCAGGCATTATCATAATTGGATGATGAGTCTTAAGCCTTTTAAATGCATCAGTCGGTGGCCAGTTACCAGATGCAATCCTAACCCATTACCTATGAGCAAACGTCAGCTTTTTAATCTGTTACCTCAGTTGGATTGTTTTGTGTCTTGTAATTGGTGTTATGTCCATCTCATTTTCGGCCTTTGTTTTCTAGGTAAGAGAAATGGCCGCCACTACACTCAGTGGCTTCCTTCAGTGCAATTTCCTGTCCATGGATGCCCCAATGCAGGCACATTTTGAGGCTCTCTGCAAGACTCGCTTGCCTAAGAAGAGGAAGAGAGATCTTGGCTCTATAGTGGACACCATCCCATCGGCTGGTAAGGAACTTGCTAAGAGTTACCTACCAACCAAAGATTGTGTGGGGTTTTTTTCAGTGTCATTTGAATTTGAATGGAATCGCTACTCTTGTGTGTTTGCAGACCTGGTGCGCCGCCATGCTGGTGTTCTCGGGTTGAGCGCTTGCATTCTTTCTAGCCCATATGACGTCCCCACCTGGATGCCCCAGCTGCTGATGGACCTGAGTGCTCACCTCAATGACACACAACCCATTGAAGTATGTGTGGTCAGCGATTAATCGCCATTTATTATGGCATATCCAAAAGCTAACCATCACTTCTGTGGCGTCTCCTTTTAGATGACTGTAAAGAAAACCCTGTCAAACTTCCGACGGACACACCACGACAACTGGCAGCAGCATAAGCAGCAGTTCACAGATGACCAGCTGCTCGTCCTCACTGACCTGCTGGTCTCTCCCTGTTATTATGCCTAAAACCTGGTAAAGAATTATTTTACACTGTTGCCAAGTCATTACTGTCCCTGACTGTATTGTCTTCATTTTAACTAACTTTTTACATTTAATCTTTTTTTTGTGTTTTATTGGAAACAGTTTGGAACAGCTCCAGTCTGTGCAGACATCAGCCTACATTGGGGAGAGGACCTGAGTGATTGACTGAGATAATACACAACATCCCAGCAGCATCAGATGAAGAGTGGCACTCAGAAGGATTAAAATGTTGTGTATTTATGTATTTAGCTCATTTGCATTTCTACTATACTTAATATTTAAGGATCCATCATAGCAGGGATGAATGGCCTGCAGTTTGTAACATTACTGTACAGATTTTTTGTTTTCTTTTTCTTTTGTGGTTTGCGTGCATGTCCACGTATGTGTGCGCGCGTGTGTGTGTGTGAAGGTTGATGGATGCTTGAAGACATCAGCCGGTGTCCCACACATTTCTCAGGATTATATCCCAAGTATCAGCTCTGAGCCAACACATTGTCCAGTGTAGGACATACTCTATCTTCCAGCAGTGAAGTGTTTGGTGCAAGCCAGAGAGAACTGAACAATGGTCTCTTTAGTTTAGACTTACAACTTGCAACACACAATGTTTGTGTGGTTGTTTGATCTATATGTGGTTATATGCATCGTGTATGTGTATATCATGGTATAGCAAATATGCACAAACATTTATTTATTTACCTTTTTTTTTTGAAGTGCTAAGTTTTCATTATTGTATTTTTTCTTTTCATAGAGAGTATATCTGAAATTAAGTAGATGGCTGAGCTGTGGGCAGCGGAGCCTGTTGTCAACTACTCCTGCAAAGATAGGGAGAGCACAAACTCCCCGCTGCTGTGCTGTGTGGATTGGAGCACAGTGAGATCACTCTTTGACGTGTCTCTGTGCACGAAAAAGAAAAACTGCCTGTCTATAATTATAACCCTTTCCTTTTTATCACAGGTACTATTTACTTTTTAACATAAAGTAATGACTTTGGTTTGCAGTATGGTTTCCCCTGATGACTTAAAATCAGCATTGGAGCCTTTAGTACCTCACTAACTAGAGTAGTGCCAAAACTGCAGTGAGTTTTCTTTCCCTTCTGTTTTTTTTTCTTTTCTTTTTTCTTCTTGCTTTTTTTTTTTAGATATACTGTTTGCTTAATTAAAGACAATAAAATGAAAAAATGTTTTTAACAAAAATCTGCATATGAGCGTTTTCTTTTTTGTCACATTTTTATTGGGATATTATATCAGATACTGGACCAAAATTAAAAAAAATAATAATAATCAAAGTGTGCAGCATTAGCTTCAGTGTTGATATTTTCAGAACTAGTTTGTTCCAACATGCAGAACACTTGATCCCTGCTCAGTGTTTCAGCTCTTTACAGAGGGGTTTGTGGCCCTGCTTGAAGTATTGTCCGTGAAAAGCGGGAAAAATAATAATTAATGCTCATATTTTTATTTGTCATATTGATCATGCTGAATGACACCTTTAAAAATTATATACATTTTTGTAATAAATTTTAAAAATGTAAACAGTTTTTGTTGAAATCAGTCTAAATAGATACAAGATAAATAGTAGTTAATAGTTATATATTTATATGTGTATAATTTTTTTTGTTTTTTCACGTCCTTGGCAGAGACTGTTTAAATAGGGGGGCGCCATTTTTCGCATAAACTATAATACGTTACCATGGTGAAAGCAAAAAAAAAAGATAAAATAAATTGCTGCGGTAATATATTTGACGTGTCGGATAATGGCGCTTCTGTCAAATTTCAAATGTTTGAAATAAATCCCGCAAATTCTCCTTTCTAACTCCGCCAGCTGACTCCCAGTGAGGGAAGCGTTTCTATGGATGGACTACTTGAATGCAGTGGTTATGCTCATGCCCGGATACGTAGACGGTGACTTCATACTCATTTTTCAGTGCACGTCCAGTGGCCGTCGCTTCTCTATTTGAATGGATTTATCGTAAAGAAAAGAAACAAGCTGCCATCTACGTGTTCGCGCTGATTTACACAGACATGTAAGGAAACGTGAAGATTATCGATTCTTTCCGACGGACTGTTGCGTTAAGGTGAGCTGCTAAAATACATTTTTCCTTCTTTGTTTCCGAAGCAGCGGTGCGTTCACTATCGCACTGCCTTAAAAATGATGAAGATGGGCTGTATGAAATAATGAGGATCGCACGATCTAGTACAGGTAGTGTGCTATATTTTCTAAGCAATAGTGAATCCTGGATTGTGCAGCCCGTTAAAGCCTTAAAACCAACATTCGTTTTGATATTCAGAGATTTTTCTTTCTTTCTTTTTTTTATTAAGCAGACGCTGCTGTGTGTGTGTGAGAGAGTTAAAGGGGGATGATGGGGAGGTAAGGTAATTGGCCAAATGCAGTGGTGCATAGCCTATTATACCCTTTTCTAACGTTTCTGATCAAATTGTAAGTTATCCATTTCTCTTCATTATCATTATAACTGTATTGAAGACCAGCCCATAGAGCTGATTGTATTTATATTCTTTGTCGTTTTCTACCAAGGTGGCAGCAATGGTGGAAGCATGTGCTCCTTCCTCTTAGAGGAATAATACTGAAATTGATGAATGTGGAGTTGCTCTAAATCATCAGAGTACAATGAACACCACTCTTACACCCTCGGACCTGGTGGATGTGCCAAGACTGCAGACCTTCAATGGCACCCTGGGTAACCAGACCCCCTCGGGCTGGGCCGTGATCCACACTGCTACCTTGACTTTTTGTTCCCTCCTCCTCATCTTTATCTTCTTCCTGGGCTCTTATGGGAATCTTGTGGTGTTCCTGTCTTTTTTCGACCCGGCGTTTCGCAAGTTCCGCACCAACTTTGATTTCATGATCCTCAACCTGTCCTTCTGTGACTTGTTCATTTGTTGCGTGACCGCTCCCATGTTTGCGCTGGTGCTCTTCCTGGATGCAGGCGGAGGGGATGGTGTGTCAAAGAGTTTCTGCTTCGCCTTCCACTTGACCAGTTCGGGCTTCATCATCATGTCCCTGGAGACGGTGGCTGTCATTGCTTTGCACAGACTCCGCATGGTTTTGGGACAGCAGCCCAACCGCACTGCTTCCTTCCCCTGCACGCTGGCCCTGACCGCCTTGCTGTGGACATCCAGCTTCACATTGGCTGCTCTCCTCACCATGCGTGCATATCCACGCAAAGATGGACCCTGCTTGCCCCACTTTGGCCTGGGGAGTGGGCAGGCCAGGGTTGTGTTGTACGTCTACCTGGCAGTTTTTGCCTTTTGTGTTGCTGTGGTGTCTGTGTCGTATCTGATGATTGCTCAGACCCTGAGGAAGAACGCACAAGTAAGGAAATGCCCAGTCATCACTGTAGATGCCACCTGCCCTCCACCCCCACCACCTCTCATTGCAGCAGGCTTTGAAAGCATGCAGTGTGCCGTTCAAGGCCCCTCTCTGTACCGTAACCAGACTTACAACAAACTGCAGAATGTACAAACGCATGCCTATACCAACAGGACAAACCAGCCGGTGGTTCCAGGGGCCGCCCAAGGAGCCACCTGCTGTCAGCTGGTCTCCACAGTCAACTTAGCCACAGCCAAAGACTCCAAGGCAGTTGTCACCTGTGTAGTTATAGTATTCTCTGTGTTACTCTGTTGTCTGCCGATGGGAGTTTCACTGGCACAGGATGTTTTGTCACCAGAAAGCAGCTTTGCACATTACCAGTTCGAACTGTGTGGCTTTGTGCTCATTTTTCTCAAATCCGGCATCAATCCATTTGTGTACTCGCGTAACAGTGCAGGCCTCCGCCGCCGTGTACTGTGCTGCATTCAGTGGGCCGCACTTGGATTTCTGTGCTGCAAGCAAAAGACACGCCTGCACGCAATGGGGAAGGGGAGCCTGGAAGTCAATCGCAATAAATCCTCCCATCACGAGACCAACTCGGCCTACGTGCTGTCACCTAAGCCACAGAAGAGGCTGGTAGACCAGGCTTGTGGACCCAGTCATTCCCGGGATTGCGCTGGCAGTCCCAGGGCGACAGGTACACGCAAACCTCGCCTCCCGAGCACCTCTACACCCATCAACACCCGGATTGAGCCGTACTACAGTATATACAACAGCAGTCCCTCAGCAGGGCCCAGCTCCCCCACCAGCCTACAGCCTATCAGCTCTCAGACATTTGCCTTTGCCAAGTCCTATGTAGCGATGCACTACCACACTCACCAAGATGCTCTGCAGGACTTTGAAAGCACCTCAGTGCACCAGATTCCCGTGCCCTCGGTATAGTCAAAGAACAGAAAGCTTTGGACAGTCTCTCCATGACTTTAAATCCAATGTGAATCAAAGGAGGAACGTGTAAACAGGCTATTTTTATGTCTTTGGACTCAGTATTAACATTTTGTTCTCTCCTACAGTAGAAAGATGTTGCGATTTTGTGACTGGAGAAATGACAAGAACCAGAACTACAGTATAAACTTTGCCTTTGAAACTGAAATGAGAAACAGATTTAGAATAAAAGTTTATGTTCCAGCAAGTTATTTATTGATATTGAATTGATTTATTGAGGTTTTCACTGAACCCAAAGTCACCAGTTGCTAGTTTCAATCCCAGTTCCTCTCTGGCTGGAGAGAGGAGTGAAACCAGCTTCTTCAGCATCAGGCCACTATGAAACCCCATACGGCTGTCAGTGGTACGTGGTTGCACCTGGATAGACTCTCTTCTCAAGAGAAAAAAAGAGTCTGAGCCTCATACATTTAAAAAAAACAAACAAACCCCACAATAAATAACTGGCAAGTACAAATTTAATGTCTGTGAGATCTACACCTGTTACTGTGCTGTTACTACACATACACATAGCATCAGCGCCCTCTGGCGGCCGAATAAATAAAACACTAAATTCTACATTTAACTTACTTGATCAGGGGTGTCAAACCTCAGGCCCAGGGCCTGGAACCAGCGTGCTAAAGACTCCAATCCAGCCCCACTGGACAGATTTGGAAAAATGTAGAGAAAGGCACAAGTTTTGGGGCTTTTAGCTGTTTTTTCACAAGTTTAACAGCTTCATTTTTACTGATTTAAAAACCTCCCATATAACATCTCAAGCTACACCAAACAAATTCGGTTATTAAAAAATAAATGACAGAAAACTTCCTGTGGTTTTCATTATCTACTATAAAAATGTGTTATACACAGGATACATTGCGTATCAATTGGTCAGATGGATGCATTTCTTCTGTAGTTGAACACATTTATGCACAAGCCATTCAATTACTACAGTAGAATTTCTATTTCTTTATCAAGTAGAAAAAACTGACACTTTCTGTTGAAGTTGCACTTTATTTTTATATTTAGATACCTTGAAGATTAAATGTGGTCTTGAAATGGTCCAACCCACTTAAAATCAAAGCGGGCAGTTTGAGTTAGATATCCCTGAACTACAGATTTCCCTAATGTCTTAAATCTCCTCTTTTCTGTGGTAATGGAAAACTAAAATAAGGTTTCATGTTTTGATTTTTTTAATTTTTTGCTGTAAATGCATTGGTTTTTATTCCAGAGATACAGCAGTAGTCGGATCCCAGTGTGCATCTTCATAAAACCACAAAACGAACCTTTTAAATGAACCTGCACACACTCTGTACATCCTACAACCTTACACTCACTTTTATTGTTATTCCACAGCAATCTCTAATGCATAAGTTACACTCACACAGCACACAGTCTCCCTGCTGTGAAGCATTTTCAGATGTTTTTCATATCTACAAGTACAAAAGTGCCACAGTCAAGCAGCTAATCAAT